CAGTCATCCAGTGTGTATTTTTTTTTCTGTAAAAAAAAAATGATGAAATTAGTCCTTTTGTGTGTGTGTGTGTGTGTGTGTGGTGCGTTGTCTGATAGTCATAAATTTTTTTTGCATAGGTAACTCGATATGTTCTATAAACTGGTCTGATTAGAAATGAATTTTAACTGGAAAATATTTTTGCTGTTTTGCTGAAAAACCTGTTTTTTCTAGAAAATTGAGTTTCTAAAGCAGTTTGGGAAAAAAATGACTGTAATATACGAAATCAGCAGCATCATTCACATGTTGTCATGTATATTTCGAGAAAAAAACGGTGATATACTTAAGGAGTTTCTCTAAGGAATTTATATTTTGTCGTAGCTGAATAACTGACTCATTTTATTTTATTTTAATTATAAGTGTTCGATTATAAAGTAATCATTATCAGATAAAATAAATACAAGTTAAAAATATCATTGATTTATAAAGTATCCTATCAATAGATAAATTTCTTTGTTTTTATAATTAGCAGATCAGACCGTATCAATTCATATATATATATAGATAATTTACATATTTTAGTATATAAACTTTTGTATAAAAATTAATTATGAATAAGAAAAACGGAACTGATTCTATCAAAGAAAACAAAATAACGATCTCTTGAGAAAGAAAAAAAATTTGATTATATAAATAACGATATCTTACCGTCTCATCACTCATGTTTCCCACTGCAATTTTAATAGTAGGATGTTAAAAATAACTATGAACTGTTAGAAGATGAACACTGTTTGCAAATGATTTTTACATTTTTCTTCTCGCTCGTTTAAAATCACACAAGATTAGAGTGCTGCCTCGCATAACAATTGCCCGATATTTGTTGAACAATCATAATATTTATGATTAGTTCTGCTCTGTGAATTTTTTTTCTTCTTTTTTTCCAGTTCGATAATATGTATAATTTAGGAACAACGCACCACACACACACACACACACACACAAAAGGACTAATTTCATCATTTTTTTTTTACAGAAAAAAAAATACACACTGGATGACTGATTAGAGAGACCAAAATAGTGAAGAAGAATAAACTTCATCGATCACCAATAAGTGATGTAACAACTTAGGATGAGAATAAAAAAAAACAATTCAGTGCAATTAGATCAAACGAGAAAAATCTATTGATTATGAATAGAACAGTCTTTAAAATGTTACGCAACAGTAATTGTTATATATACCAGTTATTTTTGCCATTCTTCTAACTACGTACTTTGAGCATTATAGACTGAGATGTATAAAATTCTAGCATATCATATACGAGATGTTTTAGTTTGTAAACGAATTTTAGTCAAATTACTGACGATTAACGTTTGTGTTTACTCAGAATAGTATTTATGAGTGAACAAGTTACTACTAACTGGCTTCTCTACCTTCGTCACATCGATCTATTTAACGATTGAGAAAAGACAATTTTTATAGCAGCTACTATTACCTTTTAAAATTAAGAGACGAATGATTAGTTTCTTTCGAAATAACTTTCGATAGCAACAGAGATTTGTGCCAATTGAAAATATCTTTCTTAGAATATTTTTATCTTTATACTTTAGTCTGTCTTCGTAGAAAATTGAAGAATTCGTAGCTCACTCAAAATCGCCTAAAAACATTTCATCAATTTTAGTTACTTTGCATGATTGTTTAGTTCTAAGTACGAAAAGGCTCTATCTATCGAACCTTTGGAAGTTTTTCCAAAAAGTCTTTAGAATCGGTAAGAATAGATCGGAGAAATTTGCTTCGAATTTATCGTACCACTAAGGTTATCAACGCGTAAAACAACTAAATTACAGAATATTATGAACCGTTTTTTGAGTGATTTTCAATTTTTCACGAAAATAGGCTAAAATTGATTATTTTAAGTCGATTTTCATCAAAAGGGATTGTGAAATGCTCATTTTTAAAAAACATCCAAATGAAGAGGGGAAGAGGATCAGCTTGAACGGGACGGACAGCAGCGAATGAGTCATAAACACCAATTTACTTAGATGTTTTTTATGAATGAGCACGCTAACACCTACTAACAGTCCCGAATTAAAATCCGATAGACCCAACAGATAGAGCTCATTGAATCGGTTATACTAACATCGAATAATATTGAGATGAATACTTAATAACGGCTATTAACAATCAAAACCTAGTCACCGACACTCACTAACAGTCATCACAGTCATCAACACTCCAAAACGACACGAGCTACACGCTTTCGACTCGCCGTGTGAGACTGAGTTTATTGAGTTTACTAAATTAGAAAATCAGAGAGAGGCTGATGTATTCTGGAAGCGAGTGATTGTTAATAGCCGTTATTAAATATCCGTCTGAATATTATTCAATGTTAGTATAACCGACTCAACGAATTCTATGTGTTGGTTGTATCAGATTTTACTTTGAAACTATTAATGGATGTTAACATATGTCCATAATTATCTTTAGCATAAAGGCCTTTATCTGTTTCTATCGAAAGTTATTCAATAACTAGTCATTTGTCTCTTAGAAAAGAGAATAGGGTAGAAAATAACCCTTAACTATGAGATTGTCACAAAAATTCACTTTGTATGTCAAACTTTACGTTTCAACAACAAAAAAAAGTAAGATTTTTATTGCATTATTTTTGTTAACTAAAAATATCAGACAATAACAAACGATATTTAATGATTTTTTTTTGGTTCTTATTTGCGTAAAACAGATAAAAAAAAACTTGCATATCAAAAATCGAAGAATTGCCAAGAACAAAGCGTTCTGACGAAAAGAATCACCAATGGGGTGGAAATGCACACCACCAACCATTTGCATATTTTACTAGCAAAAGATATTCTTTCTATGTTTGCTTAAACGAGATGTCTCTATGAAAAACAATTTTTCATTACATCGTACTCGTCAGAAAAACGCCATTGCGAGAAAAATCATCAAAGGATAGAGATAAAACAAAAAAAAAAAATACTACTTTGTCATTCTAACACAGGAAAATATCAAAGATTTGAGTCTGCAGAAAATATGATTAAAATAAAAGACGTAGGTATTAAATGTTGAGTTTATATAAAAATAACTGCTTTCTGTTATACAGGAACATGCATTTATTAATCTCAAGAGCGCAGAAATAATTTAAATATACGCCTATCAATACGAGCAAACCCATACGTATAGAGAGAGAGAGAGAGAGAAACGGACAAAAAAAAACAACTAAATTCGATACAAGCACGCCGCTAGCTAGCGAGTTTATTTTCTAAAATTATCTGTCGATTTTTTTTCTTTGTTTTACATCGAGTATATTTACAAAAAAATAGCCAAAGGAAAACGAACAAAAGGTAAAAGAAAAGTGATTGTTTAGTTTTATAAAATAATCGGGCATTTTTTCAAGGTATACAAGCACAAACAGAATTAAGTAGTAAAATGTAGAAAAAAAAACGACATTGCACACTAGCTAAAATCAACAAGACGATAAAGAAGATGAGAGAATTAATCGTTTCATTTTTTTTTTTTCATCTTCTAATCAATCGATTACAAAAAGAAGAACAAGAAAAAAAACTGTTCACAAAAATAACAAGAAAAAAAGAAATCCTTTTCCAAAGAGTGCTGCAATAAGAAGAGAGATCGAACGAACGGATACAATGTATCATTTATTACATTGTGCATGCAAATTTTCTTTTGTAGAAAATGAGAACAGAGTGTACCATCACATTTGTGTGTCCATCGGTTCGCCGATTAAATACGAAAACGAATTTGAATGCGTAGAATTTGAGCGACTTAAAGCTAAAATCAAACGAATTTAGTATCAACTATAATTTCAAAAGTAATTCATTGTATTTTTAAACTTTAGAAGAAATACTGATCATCCATAATGGTTGTAATGTTCTACAATCAGCATATAGACGAACATTTTAGTAACAAAATTTTTACTTTCTATATTCAAGTAATGAGTAATACTCTTCAAACTGTCGACGATCTTTTCAAATTTATGATTTGAGTTATTTACTAATGGGAAACATCGATCGATTATAAAAATGGACGTAGTTAAATTTGCATTCATCAAGCAAATTGATTACTTATCAAAGCACGATTGTGTGCATAAATCTCGATTCCTCGACGAACATTTTAAAAGAAGTCATTTTCGTAGTTTGAACCCAATATGTCAGAGAAAATTGATTGATTCTAAGCTAACAAAATTGCTCAGAACAAGTCTTGAGTGTGGAGAGTTTGCTAAATTTTGCTAGAATTTTTCTACTTCTAATACAAATTTTCTTCGTCATGTAATACATTAGCGGAAACAAAATGTTTTAGAAAGTTTTCTATTAGAAAATTTTTTGCTCTTAATCAACTATAACAATTTTTTTTAAAAAATTTTGTTCTTAAGTTTTTTTCCCCATTTTTAATTAGAAAATGATAGAGCCGAGTAACGTTGATAAAAATAAAAGTCAAGAAACAAACTCTATAATATGTCCGTCTACTCATCTCCAGTGTCTGTTTCTGAACTAAAATAAAGAATAGCACGACGCATCATTTTTCATTTCAATGACACAATCGTCATAAAATAATAATAAATCGATCGCATCAGAGTTTCTGAAAAACTGGGTCTTTAAGAGTCATAGGAAAAAATCCTTTTAGAGTATTTACTACCTCACTATGGTCTGTCGATTCATGTATAAATCATTGGAATCGGAGGGGCGGGGGAACACTTCTATAGGTTGCTTTGTGAGTTCTTTAGTAAATTTTCTTTTTTTCTATCTATCATATATGTTTTTCATTTTAACTTACATTCAAATGTAGTAACAAGAAATTTCATTAAATCAGACATAGAAAGTACTCCCACAATACGATAGTCATTATCAACCACTATTAGACGATGAACCTATAATCAAAGAAGAATGACAAAATAGATAAAGTATTGATGACTAAAATCTCGTACTTCTCTAGTAACAAATTTATCCATAATTTCAAATAATTGTTCACATTTTTTACATGTTGCTAATTGTCTTGTTTCTTTATCATGAATTGCATCCAGTGCATATTCTAATGCAACATCGAGATTTGTATAAGTACGTGTAGCTGCTAAATGCTAGAAAAAAACAAAATTAGTTATAACATTTTTATATTAATAATTTTCATCATAAGTCTACCATAACATCAAATTTAGAATAAACATCTTTTAAACATTTTGATTTATCGACAACAGGTAATGCTGATATTCTTAATTTCTGAAATATTCTTAATACATCAATTAATTTTGTTTCTAAGTCAATCTAAACGAGAAAGAAAAGAGATTTTGTTAAATATACAGTTTACAATTTTTTTAACATATGTATGTAAATATAAATTTATTAGATATCTGTTACACATTTCTAGTAAAAAGAATGAAAGGAAATGTTAACATTTTCAGATAGAAATTGAATTGAATTATGCACGATTAAATGATATTGTGATGTGTAACATGAAAGATTTATGAACTATCCATTTTAACATTCCTTAGCAAATTTTCATCAATGACAATGATGTTCAATATTCATCAAGATAATGACGATTTTGAAGTTTCAACAACAGTTCAGTCTTATGTAACGGTTGGCCCAAAAAGAATTAGTGTTAGTATTTTCAAGTTTTCTCCTCTTCCTTATAATTAATTGAGCAAATTTTTTTACCAAAATATAGTGCATTCAATTCTCTACAAAATATGTATTGACTGTTTTATTGCAAAATCCGAAGGTAGAAAATGAGATGAAAAATCTTATGAAGTACGAAAAAATAAGTTAAACAACTATCTTTTAAGTTTTATTCGCTATACGTTTGTGGGAGAAAGAAAGCTGAAGTAACTATTGTGTAGGCCTTGGAAAGCTCTATCTTCCATCTTTGATTAAACATTTTTTACAGTTAGAACGGAGGGCGTAAACGTAACGAGTTTTTCTTGAAAATTTTCTAAAAATGATGATTTTTTACCAGGAATTTGCACATAAAACAAGTCTAGTCTAGTCAAACTTGATTCTTTCGGATTGAACTTTTTTACATTTTGAAGATCAATGATTAGTCTATATTGTGGAATCGTTAAGATTTGAAAAAAAAACTTTGTTATCACACGTAGATAAGGCTGAAATCGTATGCTTTTTTCACCCGGTTTCCGATAAGTCAATCATTCCGTCGGATATTTTCACTCAAAACAAATTTTGTTGCATGCCATGCGACAGAGTACACTTGAAACTACACAACAGAACTCCTAATCGGACCAATTTTTGACGACTCAGCACACAGCTCAAGCTGGTCCAAAAAAAAGTCGAAGTTCGTCCAACTCATCATGCTAATCGGTTGACCTGGTCCATCTAATAGTCTTTATTGACCCGCCGGGCCCGAGCTCCACTATGCATTTTTTTAGACTAAATTCAACTTTATTATAGCAAAAACGCACAAAAAGCTTTGCTAAAGATTGATTCAGCAGCACTATCCGTTAATTAAGAAAAGAAAAGTATTTTTTTGATAACAGACTTCACTAGATAATATTAACATCTACTACTAAAGAGAAAATACCCAAATTTAACTAAAAATATGGAGAAAATTTTTAAAATTTCTCGAACCGGACCAGTCCAAAAAGAACGTTGGCCCGTCCAATCTAAAAATCTTTTTAGGACGGTCCGCTCGCTTCGAGTAAAAAGGTGAGCGACTCGGCCTGGGCCGAGACGAGTCAGTTCCGGGCCGGGTGGAACAACAGGAGCTCTGCTACACAAAGTATACCGCTCTGTGATACTTGTGAAACCATTCAAAAAATGTAGCTTTCTATAAGACAATACATTATTTTTTCTGAATTTTCGTACTTCATAAGATTTTTCATCTCATTTTCCACCTTCAGATTTTGAAATAAAACAGTCAATACATATTTTGTAGAGAATTGAACGCACTATATTTGAGTAAACAAATTTGCTCGATTAATTATAAGGAAGAGGAGAAAAGTTGAAAATACTAACACTATAATTCTTTTTGGACCACCCGTTATTTGAAATAAGTGAAGCAACTGTCCTAAATATGGATGATAAAAGTTGTATGTACTTGAAACAAGGGAGACAAACGCATTTATCCACTTCTCATGTTCATTTAACAATTCTTGTGTAACATCCATCAAAATGAACAATTGGAATTTATTAGGAAAGAATAAATGTCAGTGTCGATATGTCATTCAAAACGATATCATGTAGGCGATTAATATTAAGAGCATGAAGGCATTAGAAGAAGAATAGAAACAAAGTATAGCTCAAAATCATATTTAAATACTTTTAAATAGTAGGATTGAACTCGACAACTAAAAATTTAAAAAAGAAAACATATTTATGATTCGTTGTTGGGTACGTGAATTCAAGAAAATAAATCCTTCTTTCATTAAAATAATACATGGGACAACTTTGTGCGACTTAGAAGAGAATATGAACACTTTTCTACAAATCCTAGAAAAATTCGGCTGCTTTTTTCTTAAAAGCGTTATTGATGTAACTATTGTTTATTATTTCTCCTACTCCTCATAGATTGTCCAATATAATCCCATCGATCTTTTTTTTGTTTGAGAGTTAATTTCTGAATCTAAAAACTATGTCAGACCAATTTTAGATATTTGTCTCTTATTTTTGGAACCTTGCACCATCTATATCTATCTCATCAACCAGTCAATAATTTGAGCTGAAATTTATATTATAACTTATGCCTCTACGAATAACTAATCACTTCCTAGAGTTTGTTTTAACTCGATCGTTAAATGTAGAAAGTATTGTCTGAGATGTATGTTTTGTAATACGAATAATGATCTGACCAGGTAGTTCAATGATTACTGCATCGATTCAGAATGCTGAGATCCGCGATTCGATTCATAGTTTGATCATTTAATGTTTCTTCATAGAGGTCTTTCTGAAATATAATTCTTCGTATATCGTTAACTTTGAACATCTTGAAGCGACGAAACGCTGTTTTTATAACTGAAAGAGAAAACATCAAATTCTTCGGCTAACCAGTACATCAGGTATACACATTGCCAATTTAAGGGCCCTCCTCCCTCAGAAATAATCTCCAACACCATACATCCGATCTTGACGGAACTTCGCATAAATGTTTGACTTAATGAGTTAGGCGAATGAAAAGTTTTTTTTGTCTCCAAGTCTTATCGTTTAGGAGTTTTCTAGAGATCAAGGTCCAAAAAGAACCCTGAAGTGTTTCCCAAAATTTTTTAATATACTTCAAGCTGGAGAGTTCGGGTTTGTTTTGTTTTAAACTAGACACCTAACTACATCGTCTGACCGGCGCTAAGAAACTAAGACCTAATTCAAAAATCGGCGCCGGTCAGCCGATGTAGTTTCTTCTCCTCTTTGAAACAAAAAAAGAATAAACTCTCTATGACAAACCGCTATAAAAAATCTTGGGAAATATTCCAGGTGTAACTCTTATATAGAGAAAACGCTGTATAAAATACTCAATTTTAGAACTTCTAGGAAAATGCCTGTAACTTTTTGATGCAGAGTCATACAAAGTTGTGCGAGGTCTTATTTTGATCCGAAACGTTTGCTCTACAAATCTGTGTGTTTAGAAAAATTTTAATTGCATTAGTATCCAGGTAAAAGCTACCATTTGAAGATTCAGTTTTTCGAGGCTTCTAGAAAACTTGCTCAAAATCCGGGAAAAACCACTTTTGTAACCAAAAGCGATACAGATTCTGAAAGGAGACACTGCAGGCTATCTTTCCATGTGCGTATCTCAAAACCGATATTTTGACCGAAAATCACCATTTCTGAGGAGAGGGGGGACCCTTAAAAAAAGGACTATCAAACTGTGGACAGTGATAAATCCAAATTTGACCCTAAGACCGAATCGGGATTAAACTAGGAAAAATTAAAATTTTTTTCCTGGAGATATTTCTTAAAATTTTCTTCTAATTTCCATGTGATCACTCTAGAAAGAGATGTCCACAATGGTCACGTTTAACTGTAATATCTATCCGAATGTCAGACATTACAAGATGAAGTACTACTAGCTGGCTATGGTCAAAACCGTGCAGACTCTTTCACATAACATCAAAAATAGAGTAATGACAAGACGTTTTAGTAGTGATTCTCCAATCAAATCCTACCTATAATCTAAAGATCGAAGTCACACTTGAAGTTTGTGCCGTTGTTAGAGGTCGGCGGGATCAGACTTTTTTGGTCCCGGTTCCGTGGTCCCGTAAATATTTTTTCAAACTAGCGCTCATAGTTTGAAAGTCAGCACGTTGTAATGTGGTGTGTGGTACAGCATGCATGGGAGGTATTAATTGAAGACTTTTAGAATTTTGTGTGAGTTCTTTCCTGCAGAACTAGTGCCTACATACAAACAGGCACACAAACTAAGAATTTTTTATGCTCCATACAAGACTATTTTCAAAAAGAACTGAGACATTGCAACGTTTCATGAACAAACACTCTGTGGATGATTTATTTACATAGATCAGATAAATCATATTGTTCGTCAGTTATTTAGCTAAAAAAATATTTTAAAAATCTTCTTCTTTTGAATTGATTCGTTGAAAAAAATTGCTGAGCTTTTCTTTCACTCTGCAGTTGATCAAGTAATTTATGTGACATCGTTCAATGAAGACTGTCTTTGATTTATGCTGTTAGTAAAAAAACGTCTACTCGTTTCTAGTAAAATGATCACTTCCGTTATCATAAATTTAAGTGGACTACTACAACATGAGACCGGGATAAGGAAGAAGGAAGAAGACCCCGCCTAGCGGCTACCTTGCGGTACAGGGTGCTGCCGAAGTAGTTTCGATAAGCCTGATATCTTCCCTACAGCTGATGATCTTCAGAGACGATCACCCGTTCTTTTACTAGTCACCAAGCAAGCTGCAGCTCTGGACAGAAGGCCAGCCGAACAACATAACCACTCAGCCATAGCGGCTCTGACCGGATAAACTCGATACAGATATGAACAAGTTCATTTTTTCAATAGATAAACTGTAATATTTATTCTTATTTATTTATTTCAGTTAAATTTATACTTAAGTACGATTTGTTTTCTTGCATGTGTATATTTTAACTGTGACTTTATCCAAGTCAAAAACACAAAACGCACCTTGGTTTTATCCGTTATATCATTGCATTTTATGTTGTTGATTTTTAAGAACAAGAGAAAACAAATATACTTCACCTGAAAACGACAAGAATTTTATTGTCTATTTTCTTTGAAAAACAAAAAAGAAAAAGAGGAAGAAGAAGAAATATATAGCTGAAACACTCAAAATAAAAGAATTTCTTATCTTTTGTTACTAAACAAATAAATATTTTAAAAAAATGTGAGAAAAACAGTAGTCATACAAATTGTATTCAATTTAAGACATATTAATTATTTTTATTTAATATTATTATGTCGATATCAAATGAACAATTATTAGAACAAATTGAACAAACATATCAAAAATATTTGAACGATAATTCAACAGAACTTAAAGAAGAATTATGGAAATGGAAAGATGATGTATTAAATGATTTAGAAATATTTATTACATCAAAAGAAAATGAAATTGATGAAAAATTTAAACAATTAAATACACAACGTTTAAATTATCTTGATGAATTAAAAAAAAATTTAGTTGATAATGATGATAATAATAATCTAACAATTGTTCAACAAAATTATCAAAAATGTTTAATAAATTATTCAAATATTGAAAAAAAAATTACATGTACAAAAAATGAAAAAATAAATTTTTTAAATAATTATTTTCAATTAAATATTGAAAAAATAAAAAATATGAATTATCATTTTTCATTTAATAATTATTTTTTAATATCAAAAATTAGTGTTCAATCAACAAATCCCGATTGTACATTTGATTCAAATCAAAGTCTCATTGTTTATTATGATAGAGAAAAAGGATCAAGTTGGTTAAATATATTCGATTTACAACCTTATTTAATTAATAATGATAAAAATAATAATTTTAATACAATGAAAATAATAAAAAATATAAATATACGAAAAATTAATACATCACAATTTGGAAAAATTTTTCATATTGAATATAATAAAATATTAAATCAATTTTTAATATGTACTGGTGGTAAAATATTTTCCTATAATTCATTAACATCAAAATTAGAATTATTTATTAATTGTGAAGAAGAACAAAATGGTATAATACAAAAATTTACATGTGATTCAAATAAAAATTTATTTATTTTATATAAATTTATACGACATACATTTATTCAATATGATTTATCATCATTAAAAAAAAAATATCAATGGAATTGTGATAATTATATTAAATGTGAAAATGAAAATTATGTTTTAGTAATTAATGATTTTACATTAAATAATGATGTTCTTATATTTATTGTTAAATTTGAACAAAAACAACCGATAGCAAATGAAAATAATGAGAAAATGGAAGGTAAGAATTTTTGTTATTATTATTGTTGTTTTTTATTCTTGAAAATGAGAAGAATTAAAAATATATATTTTTTTTTATCATTTTTCTTCTTTCATTATTTTATTTTTATTTTTTAAAGAATCAACTATTTCAAAAACTTTTCTACAACATCAAATTCAAATTTTTACCTATGATATGATATTAAGATCAAAAATGAATTTAAATGAGATATATGAAAATATTCGTATAAGAATGTTACCATTTAATGATAAATATAAAAATGATTTTCTTATTATAACAAAACGTCAATTATTTGTATACAATTTTGATACAGATATTCAATGTGTAAATAAATTAATTATGGATGATGATACAGAATATGTATCATTTTTATATAATGACAAATATTTAGTTATTCGAACAACATTTCATATGAATATATTCAAAAGACATCAGGAAGAATCAAAATTACTCAAAAATGATTATCAACAATCATCATCATCGTTATCACGTCTATCATCGACATCTCGGGCACCAAGCAGCATAAATACATCATTATAACAAAAATTAAACAACAAAAAACATGTATGTCTAACAAGTCTTTTCTTTGACTATTTGACATACTGAAATTCTTTTAACATGAGAAATAATAAAGAACAAATTGAACTTTTTTTTATTTCAAATTTTATAAGAAATAAAATTTAATTATTCTGAAAAAAATTCATTTTTCTTTTTAAATTACTTTTAGGATAATTATGATTACAAAAAAGATATTCTATCTACTTTGAGGATGGACACGACTCGATAAGATCCCATTTCTAAAATATCAAAATAGAAAAAAAAAGAAAAGTATTCAGCTTACAGTGTATTCACAAGAGATTTTTAAGATCAACCATCATCATTCAATTTCGCTCTATAAATAGTGAAAAAAAAGGTACACTTTAAAGACAATCTCATTTTTGATCAATACCAATAAGGTATTCCCATGTAAATGGCGCGTCATGATGCCTTTTATTAAAAAAAAAGCGATTTTGACGTTTACACGTGGTGTCGTCATTTTTTTGTATCCAAAAAGACACGTTTTCAGGGGTTTTCTAAAACTCTTACACAACAGTCATTAGGCAAACACGTGATAATTTTAGGGAAAATGTATACTAGAAATATAGATCTAACTTATATGACACATGCCTGTGTACATGAGTATTAGATTCATCGTGAAACTTCTCAAGAAATATACAATGATGATTTTTTTCAAAACAAAAAATATTTGATATTTTCGTGGATTCTATTAATATATAAACATATTTTTATACATAAGCACTGATAAAAATGTTGTTTTCATTACTTTATTTTGAAAAAATTTTAAAATTTATTTAATTTAATAATTTTAAAGTTCAAAATTTTGAATTTTGAACTGAACATATTCCAATGTAGAGGAAAGTCTAGGCTACAAAATGAAACCACTTACAACATTTCACAACTTTCCTTACAACATTTCACAACTTTCCTTGAAAATGTTATGAATTTTTTAAATTTTTCCTTCAAAGCCTGAAAAAGCTTAATTTTATAGTTTCAAAAACTTCTCTCTCTCTCTCTCTTTTTCTGTACATTCAAAATTTATTCTTATACATAGTCTGATTGAAGAAAGTGTTCTCTTCACAATGAGACGTCTTCCAAAATTTTCTTGATGATTTTTGTGAAGATATAAGCACCGTCACAAATGCTATGAAGAAAACAATAAATGTACAAAATGTGTTTTATCAACAGCCGCTACAATCCAGTTACACATTACAACCCCTCGATAACATGATTCGATCGACTTAAAAATTTATCATAAATACTAGACAACATTGTCCAGGTGTATATATATATTTTTTTCGTTCTATCATCTTTTCTTTTTGAGTTATAGAAATTTTAAGATTGAAAAACCTGGATTTTAAGATGTTTTTCACTGTTTTTATTAGAACTGAGAAAGAAAAAAATGATAAAACGAAAAATAATAATCTACATCTGGACAATGTTGTCTAGTATTTATGATAAATTTTTGAAGCCAATTAAATCAAATTATCGAGGGATCGTAATGGAACGATATCAAAACTCGAGTTTTCTAGAAGAGAGCTGTAACAAAAATGAAAAGATGCTCAATTAAGTTTTCAATTAGTCCTGGAATGGAGAAGGTTTTGTCATTTTTAGTTTATGGATGACAATAATTCTACGAAAAGTCTCAAACGGGTGGAGTGATGCTCTTAACACTGAAGTGTCTCCATTCGAAATAATCATAAATGCTCAAAATAAAAATAGAGATAAAATCTTTTAAATTATTTACCAATCTATTCTGATTTATACTCATTAGTCTCGGTATATATTAGAAAGATAAACGAGAGTATCAATGATTTCTAAATGATCTATTTTCAGATTTGACTAATATTCCTTATCAAATTTAAATACGTATCGTATTAATAATGATGATTATGCAACGCAAAATGTATTTTAAAGCAAAAACATTTATTTCATCATTATAACAGAAACGTCTAATGAAGTTTATAATACATTAGAAAGGATATTTCGAAAAACTAACTTATGTATTCTCATAATTATGTTATCAATATGTTTTTGATGTAAAACTATAACGTTTACTTCAAGAGTAGAGAAATATCGCTATTATCTACAATAATATGGTTTTAATTTATCGTGGAACGATTGTCGTTTCTAGTTTATCCTATATGAATCATCATGACCTAACTGAATCCAATTATGCTAAAGAAGACTGAAACTATCATTATGATATTATTTAAAAATATTTCGACATTTTATATTTTATTGCAAGTTCAATACACATTGTGACATTTCGACCGTTCTTGTGAGTAGGAAGAGATAAGCTCAAAAATTTTGACCAGGCACCAGGGTAACTCGATATCTAGCAAAGAGTCTCGACACATTTCGATGTCTTAAATGTGATTACATGATTCATCTGTGGCTTATGGGTGATTAAGGGTCATGACCTCATGACCGTAGTTAGTGCATTGTGCCTGTTTTGATGTATTAGTGATGTCTATCAAATGCACCTAAGCTATTTTTTCAAAAAAAGCAGCGACCTGGGTGTTTTTTCGAAGACATTAAGGCGACTAACAGTAAAAAGATGAGGAAATGCAATCCTGGGGCGTAGCATCAAAACGTACTGTGGACGCATTGTGAGTGGTTTATCAAGATACTTTTTTTTTGATAGTGCAGTACAATATGAAATGCTCGTGTAACAAAAAAAGACTTGCACGGCGGAAAGTGAAAGCAAAAATTCTGATGGAAAGTCAAAATTTCAGAAACTGTGTACCCTCCTTATTAGGATCAATGTCTACCTCTGACAACTTGCCAAAAAGATATTCCTCTACTAAAACAAAATTCTGTTATTGTTGATACTGGAGATATGAAGTGGTCCAAGGTAGCATCGTGAGACCACTTTTACTTCTTATATTCATAGACGATGGTTAAAATGTATGATAAAATTGCTTAAGGTTCATACGTATGAAAGTATGACAGTCGTTTAAAGTCTATCTTCTCTGATAGAATATACTCACCCGTTTTTTATTTTTTTAGCTAGACAATACCAGACGTAACATTGTATAAACATCTCTGACTTTCACAAACTTTCAATTTTTCAGAGAATAACAGGAATCGTTGTGAGATATGATAGAACAAAAATTTTACTCCTACGAGAGAAAATTTTCATTCCATGAGATCACATTAGAAATTTCTTCTCAGAAACTATTTATTGTTAAGAAGAACCTCTACTGTAAATAATCTAGTTCGTTTTCTCGTTTCGACATATGAAACCATAAAAATATGTTTTTTTCATATTACATTAATAAAAAGATATACTCACTACTCACTAGTAAAACAAAGTAAGAATTCTCATGAGATGAGCTCCCATTCCATGTATCGTTTGAAAATTTGAATTCTGTCCCGCCCCATCCTATGGATAGTCTAAAGATTTTCGTCTCATCTCACAGGATCTCGTGTGATTCCACGGATTGACAATCTTTGTGAGATAGGTATGTAAATGAAGTCATCAGTGAAATGACCTGCAAACACAGTTGCATGCGTATAATAAAAAGAAAAGTTGCTAGTTCTGTATTAGACACTGTGTATAAAAATCTCATATTGTCTGTTATCAGTTTTGCTAGCGAAATTTATTCATTAACAAAAGAGAAAAATATTAATTAATTAACTAAAACTATTCCAATATCATATCGCGCTCACAGTCTCAAGTGTTATGGAAATAGTAATAAACAAAAATATTAACTGATTTTGAATGGCTCTGGATTTGAAGTGTTTTATTTCTGTGATTATTACATGCAAAAAAGCAATGATATATTTTCATAAATGACCTATGGGGGTGAAGATGTTTAAGAGACATGCAAGGAGCATAGTTAAGAGAGACGACATATTTTATAAGGAAGAGATGGTGATCTAAAGTAGAAAAATTTACCCTCAATCGACAAAAAAAGAACTGCAACACGATGCGATGCTATTCGTAGAACCGGAATGTGTTTTCCCGAATTGAACTCATTTATTTTGACAATAGGTGTTAATTCGTCAGGAAACAGTAAACAAGGAAAAAAAAAAGAAACTTTCATTCACATACGAGACGTTGTTACTTGATAAAGGAAAGGAATTAGAAGAAGAACGGAAAAATCAGACAAAAATACATTTAGAAAAGAAGAGATAAACAGTAGTAAATGACATCATCCTTATAGATACGTAAGAATAAACTGAAGAAAATAAAACATAAATTAGACATATTTTACATAACTTTTTAGTAGTATTTTATATACATTGATCACATGTATATTAAGAGAATCAGATGATCCCATTGCTGAGAAATGGAGGATATGTAAGACGATAAAGAAGCTTTTGTAGGAAATTGTTTAATTTCAACCTTTCTGTCGTGCAGACTGATTGCAGGGGCGATTAGATTGAGATGTGAGGGGAGCTTGTGACACAAAACTTTTAATTTATTCTGGATTCCCACCGTATCTATCGAGTAGTCTTTCATTGCAACTCTAGCAGTCACATGGTCCACACATTCGAGTGTAGACATACGATTTTCATGAGCTGCCGTACATAATGCGAGTTTTCTTCGGCATGTACTCGAACATAACTGTGTATGATATGCTTTTCAAAAAACACTTTTTTTTCTAATTCAGAATCATTCAAGATCAGTTAATATTTTTGTTTATTACGTTTAACTTCTAAATTTAATGCGTTAGAGAAGTAGATTAACTCGTTAAATGTTTTATATTTAATGCGTTCGAATGATTGTGAGCCGTTTCAAAAAATATTTCATAGATCGTCTTTAAATAAAACGTACGATGTAATTTGTACTTACACTCATGATGGTATTCGTATTGGTATGCCCAAGAGTCAATTAAACTTTGTGTATCACATACTATTCTCGCTCATATTCACCACTGCTATTTACAAATACATATGTTTTGTTTTCCTCTCTCTAAATTCATTGTACTGTTGTTATCATTTTTATTCTTTTATTAAACATTTTTTTCCAAGATTTTCTATCTTTTGTAATTTGTCGTAAACATTACTCTTCATATATTTTCTTTGAATATTGTAATGTCCTAATTTTATTCATTATTAACATTTTTATGACGTGAAATAAAAATTTATACATATATATAATTTTCGTTCTACCGATGCATAATAATAATATTAGTTAATTTTAGATGTGGAAAAAGTTGAAGGATCAGTAGCGACATTTTTATAATGAGTAAACAGATAAAAGATAATTTTCTCCTCAGAACACTTGGTTCTATAGATTTGAACTTATTGTTCATCACACAATGTGGTATAAACATGTTAATTACAGAAAACAATTCAAAATAATTATAGAATACAGACGGCAGATTGGCCTACAAATAGTTATAACGTACACTTCTTTTTTAACCATATTTTTCTATATATGATTATTAAAGTTAGTTTCATTTTGATGAAATTTGTTTTAAATGTGAAACTGATCTTATTCGATATTTGTAGTTTTGTGAAAGTAATTATTTTTCTATTCAAAAACTTTCTTACAGTTCTTATTTTATAACATAGTTTAACATGAAAGTTGAAAACTTTTTTCCATTGGGAAAAAGAAGTTAGAGATCACACTCTTCTCTTCCGAATGAGTGTACAAATTATAGAAAAACAAGTCTATTAACTTTTTCAATCAGTTTTTGTAGAAAGTGTCTAATAAACAAATGCAAAAAAGCTAAAATTCTATAAGAACTAACAATCAGTTCTTAGGAACGAATCTATCTCTAATTGCTAATTTAATACGAATGAAAATGTATCACTAACAAGAGTTTTTAAAATGTATATAGATTTAAAAACTTTTTCATGTCAATGATACTAAGCAGAACTAGAACAGTCATTACATCTTAGTGAAATGAATTTTTTTCTCACTTACCATAATAAGACCATCATATGTTCCGATCTTCAATTCATCTAATGTTTTATGAATAAACGTTGGTTGAGGAAGATCGTAGATCTTAATAGACAATAATGTTAGATAACAATAAATAAAGTTGTAAAAATAATGCTTACATATAAATATAAAAATTTTAATATACGTTTATGCGTAATTAAATAACAATAATCTTTTGTAACAGGATCAATGATAGGAATTCTATGAACTTTACGATTAATTATTGTTAATATAGCTTTATATAAACTAAAAATATAAAAATAATATATATTTTCATATCTAGTTTATTAATGATTTTTTTTTTCTTATTTTTACCTATCTTCTGGACTTAAATGAATAATTTTTGTTGCCGATTGATCTTGTTGTAATTCTTCTTTCCATTCTAATATTGAAAATGTTTCTAATGTTTCCATACTTTTCTAAATATGTATATAATATAAAATATTTATTATTAATAATAATTAATTCCAATCAATTTTACTCACACACTTAGCATCATAAAATTTAATTAAAAGATTAATAAAATCTGATATAGTTAATAAACCAATTGTTGATGATGTTGCTGCATGCCAAACAAGTGCAGCTCGAACATTATTATAAACCAAGGAAAAAAATGCTTTCCGAATCGATAATTTTGTATCTAATAATAATACTTTTCCTGATTTTGGCATTACATCATAACATGTATGAGTTTGAAAAAATGATTGATAAATTTCATCTGAATCTAAATAATAGATAAATATTATTAATTTAAAAAAAAAATCGAAAACACTATTTATATGATATACTTATTCTATGATAACTATCTTGACGAGCACGTTTCTTTCGAATATCCTAAAATCATATTAATACCATTTTTAAATTTTAAAGAACTTCTTCAATTTACTTACAGAGAGTGCTGTAGGATCAATAACAACATAATTATCAGACATTATTTAAAAAACTGAAATTTAATTACATGTAAAAGTGTTTAATAAGCTCAAATATGTTACATCTAGAATAGATAAAATTCATTTTACACATGATCATCTTTGTGATAGATTGTTGATATATACTATTAGATTAATAGCAATCTAAACAAAATAGATAATAGAAGAATTTAAATAGATTTTAAAAAAATAGAAAAATTTTATACGAAGAAGAAATCAAAAGAATAGAGAAAAAGTTTTATAACATTACAAATGCAAACAACGAAAACCGAATAAAATGAAACTAATCAGCTAATATTTTGAACAACTTAATCTTATCATAGAAAAAACAAATAAAAATAAATAAATACAGACATAAAAATAATATACTTCTGCTAGACTAAGAATCTAAAAAGAAAATAGTCGAAATAGAGAAATGAAAAACAAATCACAAGATTTACTCTCGTCTAGTGTACACATAATTTAGAAAGTGCGTAATTTCTCATATAATTTGTAAAAAAAATGTGTTTCAGTCTGTTACACTATTATCTTTCATTTACATTCCTTAAGTTTCTAACAAATATCAAAACAACGTAAAATATTTATTCTTTGAGCTATTTCATTGAGAATAAAAATACTCGTACGTTAAGTACAAAACAACGTCCCATATGCTATTACGAGCTGACGATTTTTTTTCTTCTTCTTAAAACATAGATTCTTTAATAATAATATATGTTATTTTCTGATCAGTGAATAGAAAAACGAATTTTGGAATACAAATTTTTTCTTATACCAATATTCATTCTTCTTTTACCTTAAAAACATGCAATTCATAATTTCTTTTCATATAAAGTTTGCGGTTCTACAATACAATCAATTTTATAAATGAGAGACAAGAAAAAAAACGGAGTAAGAACCATTATCTTTTACACGCATACCAACTTATACGCACATTAATAAACTTCTAACAAAAAAATAAAAGAAAACAAAAATTAAGAATGACTTTTTGTCAAATTATTTCTATCAATTGTTTAGTTAGTAGAAGATCAAATTAGAAACTATACAAAAAGAAACAGATAATCAAATAAATAAATAAGTAAACTCGTAAAAATCCATAAAATAACAAAAATCACATTTGTATAATTTCAACTAATCAAAAGCATTTGATTATACTAAAAAAAAAATTCATTAAGATACTTTATTATAGCGTCGAATATCAGCATTAGAAACAGGATAAGATACAGTCACTCCAAAGTAACTGAAAGTTATCCTACAAACAAAACCATCTCAGATATTAATGAAATTTTGCCAACAGTTAACTCTATATGAGAGGAAAGTCATTTTCAATTTTCAGCTTGAATTGTTGTTTCTTTTCTAAAATACTTAACAATTAAAGTCGAACAAAATTATTTTTTATAATTATTAACTAATTAACTTAGTTAATAGTATCAAATTCGGTATAATACAGACAGCCAATGGAAATATGTTGAGTAAAATAACTGGAGTTGAAGATCAAATTATATAAAAATAATTAGAAAAACTACTTTTTTCTTTATTTCGCCTTATTATTTAAAAAAGTCATCGTTTTAAAAATGACGGAGGTACAACACACATTTTTATGGCGATTTACTATTGCATCTGCATAATCCTAATTCACCAAAACTTAGTAGTAGTATAGTTGGTTGAGATAAAATTAGAGACAATAGTTAACCACCAAGCATGATTATAGAATTGTACATTCAAAGTTTACATTCAACTTATCTCGATTTTAAATATGAGCAATAGAATTAGTTTTGTTGTATTCATTATTCTCAAACTTTTCAATTACGTTAAACTATTTAATAAAAAAAATTAGACTAAGCAAAGTTTGAAGGAGGATAACTAGACAGTGTTCATGCTGTTAAGTTTTGCTACGAAAGGAACTCATTCCATTGAGGCTGTTCATCTGTAATGCACTGGTCTTTAGGTCATTAATGCACTTTTAGTTTTCAGCTATGGTCGGTTGATTGAAAGTTTCTGTAGAAAAAGTTCTATATAATAGAAAGAAAGGAAAAAAAATGAAAAAATGATGTGGTCTTCTGTGTGTATTTGTTCTGTTTGTCTTATTCTTTGTAGTTCCTTTTTTTGACGTTTGTATATATACAAGTTGATACATAGAGAACTCATCAAATTTTTGGAAAACATTTTTTGACTTCGATCGACTAAGAGAAATACCAGTGAATTGAGATTATTTTGAGTCTAGTATATATTTTAACAAGGCTTTACATGTCTGATTTTGAATCAGATATGTAAAGCTTTGTTAATCTGCACATCTTAGTTCGATACATCGTCTCTGACATGTGAATGCACGTGATGTTTAATTGAGGTAAAATTTGGAGGCTAGTAATTCGTTGATCGATGAATACGGATATGATGTCTGTTGAAAACGATGAGTTCAGTTGATGATCATAGTTATGAACGATCTTCATATATTTCTCGTGTTGAAACTCGACTGTAACATATAATAACGAATTGTTTTGGACTATGGTGGTGAGTACTGGAGTGAGTACCGTTTTAGCGATTATCAGTTATTCGATTGAGGTTATGATGCATTGCAATGCGAGAACAAACGAATGAGAGGTTCAGTCTGTTCCGTTGGTTCTTATAATTGTATTTTCGTTTCAATTGAAAACGTTTATAACATAATTAATAGTAACTAAGTATAACGTTTGATAAGTTATAAAAATACAGAAAAAGCAAAGTATATTGTAAACTTGCAAATTGGAATCTTCTTTATTTTATTACACTGTGCTTAAAAGAACACTGTGTACACCTTACATGTAGAAAAAAAAGGCGTTTTATTTTCTCTTACTTATATATAGTTATGAATGACTGAACGCTGAATTTATAGCTCTGTTGTTGTTGTTGTTGTTTTTTCTTTTCCAGAACAATAGTGACGAATCAAGTAAATTAAGCACTTACTTGCCTGCTTATAGTCACCTGGTTAGTTACTTTCAGTGTAACAGTTATAGCGATAAAAAAAATGATTCAGCACACAAAAACGTATTTATGACAACTTTTTTTTATATATTATTTACAAGAGATTTTCAGAACTTCTATACTTTATGGAAGCAGTTTTATTTAAATAGATTACTTTTGTTAAATAAGTCCGTCATTACCAACTGCATAATCAGGTGCACTATGTGATAAATTTCGCATTTAGCTCGATTTTGTGGCTTAATTTCATTCATGATTTTTCAAGATTTTCTAATGCATCTCATTTTAAGATTTGATCGTTATACTACAAACTTATAGTTTTGTATTCTTAAAGTTTATGAAGTGGCTAACAACTTTTTCTTCATAAAATTTGAGAAAATTGTAAAATTTATTGTGAACAGTGTTTTTTCTTAATAAAATTCTATTTTTAAACGATCAAGAACGATTCGACTATAAAACATATTAGTTTGAACTCTCAGTGCAACAAAAGAAAAAGACAGTTAGTCTCCAACTTAATTTGAGGACATGTTGAAGAAAATTTTTATTTTTTATAGTTGTTTTTCTTCAGATCAGCGCTTTGCAATGGCCTCTTCAACATCGAATAATTTTTCATCGTCGTCTCGTCATGAATTACCTAACATATCGACGAAATTAAGAGTATTAGAGGAGAAATTGCAACGAGAAGGAATTGAACCAGTCATCCCAGTCAATGTAAATCTAACAGTAGGTCGATCAACAAGAACAAGACCAAGGCCAGGTAAGTGATTGGAGTTGAAATAAAACTTCTAATTCTCTTTATTTTTGTTGTTTTTTCCTCATTCTTTCAGGACATATTAGTGGTGGAAGTTGCTCACCGTCTCGTGCCAGTTCCGCTCCGCCAACTAGAAAAGGTACAAATTTTCAATTACCATTATCACCACTATCAGTACAACCATATACAAGGTAAGATATTATCATATAAAAGTATTGATAAATAGTAGCTGATAAAATATTGTAACATTTGGACTGCAGTTGATAAATAACATATTGGAATCTACTTGTCTGTTTTGTTATTAGCGTCGTATACTATTATCATGTAAACTTTTAAAACAACAATAATTGCAGTAAAAGATTAAGTTGCACTAGAAGTTAGTTGTGCTATTTTTTTAGTTCTATTCATTTGTTTCCTTACACTTTCACACATTTGTTTACAGCATTCTTGAATAAGCGGATATTTGAGTTGTTTCTTTGTTTTTGTTTTCTAGTGAAGATATACGTGCAAAATATCTTGAAGTAATTAAAAATTCCGGTTTATTATACATAAACGAAGTTGTAAGTCATGTTGTTGTTATTGTTCATACTTGAAAGTATTTTTGAAATATATTTTCCATTTTTTTACAGCAACAACGTGTCGATTTAAAAGATTTGCGTCATCTGTGTGACTTAGGACATGGTTCATGCGGCCAAGTGTTCAAAATGGAACATATACAAACCAAATATGTTTTAGCTGTTAAAGTATGTAGAAAAACAAATTGGATTCGTTACTTTAACGTTAAACGTTTAAGGAAAACGTTTTTTTCATAAATCAAAAGCCTTTCAAAGATAACGGAAATAGTTTTTTTCTTTTAGGTGATGCATCGAACAAGTAGTGATGAAGAAAATAAACGTATTATTATGGATGTCGACGTGATTACAAAAAGCTACGATTGTCCTTATATTATTCGATGTTTAGGATATTTTATTAATACAGTAAGTATACAAACAGAGACATTGTCTGTATATTGTTGAAAAAAATAAAAGACTCGTGGAACTACTTGAATGGTTTTTTTTAAATTTCTTAGTCTGATGTTTGGATTTGTATGGAATTAATGGCCTATTGTTTTGAAAAATTATTGAAATTAATCAATCAGCCAATTCCTGAAAGTGTACTCGGAAAATTAACATTTACAGTAAGAAAGAGGGAAAACTGTATTCTTTTTTTTTCACACTTTTGTTTCTGGATTTAATTTAGACGGTGACTGCATTGAACTATCTGAAAGAGACACATGGTGTGATGCATAGAGGTAAAGAGAAATAGACTCAATACAAGTCTATTTCACGGTGAATATGTTTTAGATGTGAAACCATCAAATATTTTAATTGATTCCAATGGTAACATCAAACTATGTGATTTTGGCATATGCGGGGTTTTAATTGAGTCAATGGCCAAATCTAGAAATGCTGGATGTGCAGGATACATGTCAGTAAGTATCGCGCACCCCATTTGATAAAATCTATCTGGAAAACTATTTTTTGGGAAATTAAAGATAATTTAAGTAGAAACGCTTTTGCTGTCACCGATACACAGTGGACATTTCTGGTTTGGTTTATACATTAACAGCAGGACTTTCACAATAAACGTCTGACTTACACTTTTAGCAGCTTGAGTATTCATTTTTTCTTAAAGATAAATACTCGAGCTGCTAAAAGTACAAGTCAGATATTTCTGGTTTAGGTAGATGGACATGTGTTCTTTTCCATCAACAATGGCTCTTTTTGCTCAGAAATGATTCTATATCACTCAGAGAATGACTCTCAAGCAAACAAATTTTTTTCGACCAAAAGTCTCGGAAGGAGATCCGTGCCCAACGTTTTTCGAAAAAGTTCTTTTGTTTACACAACATTCGATGTAGTTTTAGTTTTATACTCGGTTTCCGAATGTGTCGCTAGTTTTGTGTAGAAATGTTCCTCTGCCGAAAAAATTGGTTTTTACCTCAAAAGCTAACGTTTTCAAGAAAACCTGTAGCTTAATTCAAAATCACTGTCATTTCTATTTTTAACCTTCAACCTGGATTAGAAAATAAAAATTATTTAGTTCAAAACCATGTGTTTGTACATTAGTTTTTGTCCAGTTATTTTCCTATGAATCTTGGCACTTAAAAGAAAAATTTTTATGCCAGTAAATAGAGCATACTTAAAAGTGTACGAGACTATATTTGAATCTAGAAAAAACACATTTTCGATTTTTTAGATAATATTCTCCTGGATACTCACTATGTGATAAGAGCACAGTGGATAGAAACAGTCGCTAGTTTCGAAATATTAAAATATTTTGTTTTTCATTCAGCCAGAAAGAATCGAGCCGCCTGATCCAACGCGGCCTGATTATGATATTCGTGCTGATGTATGGAGCCTTGGAATTACATTGGTATGTCTCTCTGTCATAATGTTTGGTTTTTAATATTTATAAGTATTTTTATTTCTAGATCGAATTGGGAACAAACAAATATCCCTATGTTGATTGTAAAAACGAATTTGATGTGATGTCACGAATCGTTACAGAAGAACCACCGGAATTACCAACAAATTCGATACAATTTTCAGCGGATTTTCGCTCTTTTATTAAATTATGGTACAATTTGTTTTTCTCTCTCTAATCACATATTATCATATGAGGCCTTCATTTCTAGTTTGATTAAAGATTACAAACAACGACCAAAATATAAGCAATTAATGGTATCTAACGAATATTGACAGTCCCTTTTCCATTAGAAAATGATTAATATACTTTTATTTTTGTTTAGGATCACCCTTTTTTCCTACGGTCAAGTGTCCAAGAAGTTGATGTTGCGAGTTGGTTAAAAAATGTCACTAAAAGATGAAGATATTTCAAATAAATTTGATTATATATCTGTGCTTGTTTCATCCCGGTTTTTTTTTGCGCTGGTTGTCTAATAAAAATCGGTGTGTACGTACGTTACAAGAGGATGTTTTTTAGATCTCTTAAAAATCAGTTAGATGAAATATTAAGACAACAGTGTCATTTTTTTCTTCTCTGTAAATGAATCTACATTGTATATGTATAAAAATTTAATTGTTTTCTTTCTGTTTTTGACTTACGAACGACGTACGATTAACGTCAACAATAACAACAAATGATGTTGTTGTTTTTTAGTAATTTTTCTTGTTTTTGTTGATTTAGGCCAATTTGTATGGTTCGTTTTCTCGAAGTTTTTTTGTATAGTTTAACTTCTTGCTCTATTATACATATCGTTTTAAAAAAAATAAAAAGTAGCGAATAATTTCTATGTGAATTGTTGCAACTACTACAGTAAGAAATAGATTGAATGCTTATCTCTCTTGCTTTCTCATTCTCTTCAGCCATATTTTTTTAGAAAAGCTCGCATACTATTTTTTTCTTATAGCTAATAATTATTTCGTTAATCTACTATTTAAAAGACGACATTTACAACCGATTAAATACCACCATAACAGTAGCACTGATTATCCTTCATGTAATAACGCTGCTAGTGTTCCATTTAGATTGGAATCAACAATTATATCTCAAACATCACATAATAAATATCGAGTCCACGACATTTCATCGAAAGATTTGTCATCGCACGGACTTTTCATCGCCTTGACTTTCCATCGAAAGGTTTTTCATCGAACGACTCTTCATCGAAAGATTTTTCATCGCACGGACTTTTCATCGCTAGAACTTTTCATCGCAATATACTTTCCAGGTATCTATAATTTTTTCTTTTCAAATTTGTACAAAAGTTGTGAAGAAAAACAAGAAGTGGGACATAATTGAAACAGTGAACATAATAGTTTTCAGATGAGACTAGTAGCTACAAT